TAAAAAGTTATGGACAGGCAGTCCTTAAGTTTGAATTATACGTTCAAAAGTTATGGACAGGCAGTCCTTAACTTTGAGTTCAAAGGTTAAGGACTGCCTGTCCATAACNAACCTCCATACTCAAAGCCCCATCAATGCTCATTTGTGTACTTGGAGGAGTAGGAGTAAGAATAGACAATGACGGACCATCATAACCAATACTGTCTCTCTTTCTTTTCCTCGTATATTGGTTAAGAGCTTCATCATTGTTGTCCTCTGCCAGCAACACTATATATATATTAGTTTGCTGCAACTCGTCAAATGAAGAGACAAAATTTCAATTATGAATATAATATTTAGGACACAATCAGTACCTGTCTTCTGCACACTACCTTCTTGTATTTTTTCAACAGACAATTCAGCTAAGATATTACTTGCATCATTTTCTTTTTCTTCCAATTGCACATTTTCTTTATCTTGCAATTGTTCACCATGTGCTTCAGTTGCTTGTTCACAAGATTCTGCAAAAATATTTACAAGAGCTAACACAATTAGTACTTGTTAATAATCTTTGATTAAAACAAACATATATAAAATTTAAAAAAAACACTGTCTAACCATTTGCAATAGTCAAGATCATCCCAATTATATCATTATCTTCACTAGCATTTTCTTGGGTTCCAATATTGTCGTTAAGAGAGGGAGGTCTAGAGAGATCACATGTTGCATCTATGCATTTGGAACCAATCTCACTTCTGCTTGTTCCTTCAGTATTTTCTACGTCTTGAGATTGTACTCCACTTTTCTCTTGATACTCCACTCCAGCTTCTTCCCTTGCAGCTTCAAAAGATTCTGTAACATTTGCGATTAATACCCATTCTAATAATTCATTAAAACTAACATACAATATATAATGAAAATTTTATCTAACCTTGATTGGCACAAGTTTGAACTCCAAATTTTTCTTTGTATGACAGAGGTGTAGGCAGATCATATGTTCCTTCTAAGCATTTGCATACAATCCCGCTGACACTTGTTCCCAATGGACTTGCTAAATCCTCCTGAGATTGCAATCCACATTTATAAATTTTTTCTGTTTCTCCTTTCTCTTTTGGATTTTCCTGGTCTTGACATTCTCCTACATCTTCAACTTCCACTCCATCAATAGATTCTACAAATATTTGTAATCACAAAAAAGTTTATATGTATTACTCAATTGAATATAAATTTCAACGAAAAAAAATTCAAAATCTATATCTAACCTTTCCCAATATCAGTAACGTTCTCAGTTTCATCATCTAGTTGTGCATCTCTAAAATCGCTTTCATACTGAACTTCTGCATGTACATCCATATCATCATGTTCATCACCGCCTGCATCTTTGTTGATTGTAACAGTAGGCTCTGTATCTTGTTCAACTCCATCTTTTCTAATTGGAACACTAGATTCTCTCTTTATGTTCCTTTCATCAGCTTTCCCATAAATCTTCAACAAACTATCAAGCTTTGATCCTAGAGTTTTCTTTAAATCCTAAGAAAGAAACTAAGTTAGAAAGTTAAGGACATGTTCAAAAGTTAAGGACAGGCAGTCCTTAAGTTTGAATTACAGGTTGAAAAGTTAAGGAGATGAGTCCTTAAGTTTGACTTGAAGGTTCAAAAGTTAAGGACAGGCAGTCCTTAAGTTTGAATTCCAAGTTCAAAAGTTAAGGACAGGCAGTCCTTAAGTTACAATTACAGGTTCAAATGTTAAGGACAAACAGTCCTTAACTTTGAATTCCAAGTTCAAAAGTTAAAGACAGGAAGTCCTTAACTTATAGTTTTAAGTTCAAAAGTTAAGGACAGGAAGTCCTTAAGTTTGAATTACAGGTTGAAAAGTTAAGGGCATGAGTCCTTAAGTTTGACTTGAAGGTTCAAAAGTTAAGGACAGGAAATCCTTAAGTTTGAATTCCAAGTTCAAAAGTTAAGGACAGGCAGTCCTTAAGTTTCAATTACATGTTCAAAAGTTAAGGATAGGCAGTCCTTAACTTTGAATTCCAAGTTAAAATGTTAAGGACACTTGGTCCTTAACTTGGTCTTGAACTTACAGTACATGTTCTTAATTATACAAGTATTGCTTTATAAAATATATCCTGAGTTTCCCATTCTCTTGACTTGCAGGATGGAAACAATATGCATTATAGTTGCTTTTAATGGTAGATGGACTGAGGACTATAAATATCTTGATCATCAAACAAAGCTTGTTCTAGTACCTGAGTCAATTCGGTTTGAAGATTTCATTAAACAGATCTTTGAGGTTATTGAATTGGATAGACACAAGTTTGAAGCAGTGATATGGTTTGATATTAACCTTGGAACAAGCAAAGGAATGCTTGTATCCAAAGATTTAGATCTTCACACATGTATAGAGTTACTAAAAAGTCATTCACTCTTCAAGGGCTGTCGTTTCATTGTTGATATTTCGGAAAGAGTTTTTGGATCAACAAGCAATGAACATGTCAACACAGAAACTCAACATGACAATCAAAACAAATGCCAACAGATAATGGAAATAGATATGGTTGAAGAGGTGCTTCAAACACATGTCAACAGAGAAACTCAAAATGACAATCAAGACAAATGCCAACAGATAATGGAAATAGATATGGATGAAGCTCAACCAATAACTGAAGAGGTGCTTCAAACATTTGATTCTATTCAAGTAGAAGGACAAAGCATTATAGAGATTGACAACGAACAAGCTTTGGGTATTCAAGTCTTAGAGAGTGCACCGGTAATCGAAGAAGTTGCTGAAAAAACCTCTACTCAACTAACTAGACGAAGATCAAATTTGAAACAAAAAGAATCCCCAACTACGATATTAAGAGAAAATGCTTCGTTGGAAGTAATAAAAGTCGGATCAGTATTTGACAAGAAGAAGAGTATAATTAACTGTTTTTCTAATATAGCAATTAAAGGACATTTTGAATTCAAGGATGTTAGATCAAGCTCAACAAGATATTCGTTGAAATGCAATGATGATAGGTGTTGTTGGTGTGTGCGTGCTTTCAGAATTAAAGATTCAACACTGTTCAAGATAGTAAAGATTGAGAAAAAGCATGACTGCTCTGTTAACACAATGAAAGCAGATCAAAGGCATGCTACTTCAAAGTTGATTAGTGCTTACATTATCGACAATCTTCGGGACCCAAGGTTTGAAGTTACACCAGCTTTTGTCATGGCAGAGATGCAAAAATTGCATGGACTAGACATTGAATATCACAAGGCGTGGCGTGCTATTCAACATGCTTCCGCTTTAATAAGAGGAACTCCCGAAGAGAATTATGAATTATTGTCTTCATACTTATATATGATGACATGTAAAAATCCGGGAACTTATACTAACATAAAGATAGACGACAACAACAGGTAAACAATCAAAAAAAAGTTTATTAGTACGTTTTATAAAATTTAGGAAATGTTGTCTTTAAACTTGTTAACTTTTGAGTTGTAACCAGAAGTTCAGGACTGGCTGTCTTAACTTTTGAACTTGTAATTCAAAGTTAAGGACTGCCGGTCCTTAAGTTTTGAACTTTGAAATCAAAGTTAAGGACCGCATGTCCTTAACTTTATAACTTGAAACTCTAAGTTAAGGACTGACTGTCCTTAACTTTTAACCTTGTAATCTGAAGTTCAGGACTACATGTCCTTAACTTCTGTTAACCTTGTTTTATATTGTATTTTCAGGTTTCTTTATATGTTTTATGCATATGGATCATCAATAGCTGGTTGGAATCATAGTAGACCAGTGATTGTTGTTGATGCAACTTTTTTGAAGTCAAAATTTCGTGGTGTTTTAATGATTTCAGTTTCAAAGGATGCAAATAACCAAATTTTTGGAAGTTCACAAATTTTTTTTCCTGGAAAATAGGAATTACTTCCATAATCCAAACACAAAAGGCAAAAGGAAATCCAAGTATAGTGTAGTTATCCTTGTCTTTATCTTTGTCTTTCTCTTTCTCAATCTCATTCTCATTCGGCTTCAAACAACTCTTCAATGATTTTAATAGCGTGTCATAAGAAAGAGAGCCCCAGTTGAAAGAAGAGTAGAGTGCATCATCGTCAACAATTTTCATTATCTGCTCGGACACATTCCTATTCTTCCGCTTGCCCATCAAAACAGATTCAACAAAATAAATTGTTGCCAACTTCACAGCATCATTATCGCTGCCTACAAATGATGAAGTTGTACCATGTGGGTGACTAGAAATAAAATTAAACAAATCACCCAACTCAATTCTATCCTTTTCGGGGAAATAGACTTTCGAAAGCCTATTCTCTTTCTCATGTAAACCTTTGATGTCCAGCGAGGAATAACACTTCAAACCAGTAATTATATGAAATGCGTCACGTGTAAACTTAATTTCACGGTCAAATACCTTGAATGTCATCGAATCAGGGTCATTATTCACAATTTCTGAAAGCAATATACAGTGAATAAGTTTACCAAGAACTTCACACTTTGTAAGCGGAAGAAGTTGCCGAAAATACCATCCCTCAACTTCTTCCACTGCCTGTTTGACAAAAAACTTTTAATTGTTTCCTTATACTGTAAATCTCATTTCCAATACACCATAAAATTACGCCAATCATCAAACTTGAACACACGATCTCCTTCCATTATCACACTACAAAGAAGGAAAAAGAAAACAAAGATTAGGACTTGCAGTTAGTTGGAGGGACTTGGTCCTTAACTTCAAGTTTCACGTAAAAAAGTTAAGGACAAGCAGTCCTTAACTTAAAGTTTAAAGTTGAAAAGTTAAGGACAATAGGTCCTGAACTTCAAATTTGTAGTTCAAAAGTTAAGGACACTTGGTCCTTAACTTCAAGTTTCAAGTTTAAAAGTTAAGGACATGCAGTCCTTAACTTTGAATTCCAAGTTCAAAAGTAAAGGACACTTAGTCTTTAACTTAGAGTTACAAGTTAAAGAGGTAAGAATAGGCAGACCTTAACCTATAGTTTCAAGTTCAAAAGGTAAGGGCACTTGGTCCTTAACTTCAAGTTTCAAGTTAAAAAGTTAAGGACAGGCAGTCCTTAACTTATAGTTTCAAGTTGAAAAGTTAAGGACACTTGGTCCTGAACTTCAAGTTTCAAGTTCAAAAGTTAAGGACACTCAGTCCTTAACTTTGAGTTCCAACTTCAAAAGTTAATGTCGTTTGATCCTTATCTTTCATGAACACAGTTAACTAAAAATTCATAAACACAGTAAGCTTATGAATTTCTACGACTATTTTTATGAAATGTCCTTACATAATCAAATATATTGAATCAACCACAACCACATTACACATTTCAACACCAAAATTTTCTGAATAACAGCATCACAAAAATACGCTACTTCTCCAACACTGAATCAACTTATAATGATCATTTTTGAAATTTCACACATACTTGACACGGCATTGAACGCGATTATACGTGTAGAAAAACAAAAATGCATAAAACAAAAAAAAAATTACCAGTTCGATCGTTCGATTCAGAGAAGATGACAGAGAAGATGAAGAAGGAGAAAGATTAACTGAAGCTCGTTTGCATGTGATGATGATACAGTAGCAGAGAACACGCGAAACTTGCCCCCCTCTAAAAAAAATTTCGCTCTTCTGAATGAAAAAATAAGGGTTTTGCGCCTTTTGGCATATAAACATTGAAGGAAGGGTAAAACAGTATTTTTCCTATTAGTAGTGGCTATTTTTGATGAGCATTATAATTAGTGGATAAAAATTAAAAACACCCTTAATTAGTGGCTACTACACGCCATTTTTACTCAATTACACACACAAAACGAATTAAAGAAGTTTCGGCCCACATCCCAGCCCCTTAGCCCGGCCCAGAAGCCCACATCTTTAATGGGTCATGGCCTTTCAATCATTATGCACATCAACGAAGATATTTGTAGACCAAATTGGTTAGGCTACAGTCCTCTAGGATGTGCACAATCTGGCTCATATAAAGCCAAATTCACAAAAATGATTAAAGAAGCCAACACCTACCAATTCAGAGTTGGTCTTTGCTCATTCCAGAAACGAATAAAAAGAGCACAACCATTATTTAGGTAGGACAGGCTGACTGATGTTCACCTCTGCACACTATCGTTTATACAGAGATCCAAAGTCAAAAGGAATATAATGACACGTTACAAACCAAGATCCAAACGGATCTTTCTTGCTTGGTGTATTGCCCAACATAAGGAGGAAGTTGCTTTACATCCTATGTTGAAGTCGATAAGCTCAAGCAACTATAATCGCTTGATTTAGTTTGCCCTATCTCGACCATTCTTGCACGACCTTCAAACATTGCCAGGAGATAACATGATATTTGGTAAATCACATTCCTTGATCATAATGAGCATGCTACACTTCCTACTCTAAAGGAAAAATCCCGCTCTCCTGAACGAGTACAAGTTGATTATCATATTACGTGCAAGTATAAGCTCACTCTTCCTCCAAGCCATTTCCAACGAGACAATATTGCATAAAAAGGGTAAAGTGTGAATATATTCTTGCTATAAGGACAAAACATGACTCAGCAAACCTCATTTACTGGAGAGATATGTGGGAGAAAACAACAGAAATTGAATTCTTTAAAACCCTCTGAATAACAGGATTTTAGAGAGTCGATATCAATAATATAACTTCACCGGCCACATGGATCGACGAAATTGATCACAACCACCTAATGACAAAATGTTGATCGGTGTAGATCCTTTAAAAAGACAAGGTTAAAATGCAAGAAATTATACAAAGAACCAAGTTTTTGCCTTCGTAAAATATTTGAAGATCAAACCACTAACTCATGAAACACTTGGCGCAGTCTCAGATTTGTCCGTATCCATTGGCTCAGCAGCAGGTGGTACTTCACTTCCAGGACTGGCACCCTCAGTTGCATTTGCATTTCCTGAATTAGGGCTCTCTGCAGTCTGTGGTTGTTGCTCACCTCCTTGAGGAGATTGAGATGATGGTGTTTCAGGAGTTGCTGGCTTTGCCGGCTTAGGCTTAGGCTTTGTCATTATTGGCCTACAAACCCTGTACAGATAGAAAGTACCTCAAAAATGACAAATCGGCAGAGCAAAGCAAGGAAAAGGAAGAAAAAGAAAAGAAGGCCGGTCCTATGCAGACAGACATAGCAACTAGCCAACCAATAATTTGCAGTACAATTAGCCAAAAATATTTATAGTTTCAAACTGAGAGCAAAATAGATTCCGTAGTCAACAGTACCTATCAAGTGCCTCTGCTTTCTTTCTAACATCAGCCGACAGAAGAACAGGGTTGGCATATTTTGGAAGAGCATCCTGCTGCTGCTTTTTCTCTCTAAACCAAGCCTCGGCTTCAACACACTCGTTCAAAACCTAGGAAGTGCAAGAGAAACATAAGCATCAAAACACATTTTCAGGAAGAAGAAGGGCGAGCATATGACGAAAGAAAACAAAAGGCATATAGCAAAGATTAAGCAGATATGTGCACACCTTCTGCTTCTCAGCTAAATCAATGTGATCAAACTTAGGATCATTTGACATTGCTGCCTCTCTGTAACTATTTATGCAATAAACAAATTGATCAATTACGGACCCCCTCTCCGTGTACTCCTTGTACCGTTGCTCAATCGGGTCACCTTGCTGCAGATTCGCCACACAAAATCAGCACCATACATGCCAAAAGGACAAGGGAAATAGGATATTCAAGAAACACCAACCTTTTTAAGCTCCTCAAGTTTGGCAATATAAACACCCTTAGTTTCATCCTCTCCATCTTCATACAACCAATCTTCCACTTCTTGAAGTTTAGCAATAAATTGTTCTCTTTCTGAATCAATTACAAACTCTTGATATTTATCTGAAAGCTGGATATGTTTAGAAGGGGAGACCTGTCAGTAACACATCTAAATGTTTTCATACAACTACCATAAGGCCAACAAATACCTTATTCCTCATGTCATAAACATAGGCCTCAACAGCATTCTTCTTATCCTTTGTCTCTTCCATAACACGGTCCTGAAGAGCCATTTCAAATTCTTTCTCAACAGCCTTCTGAACATCAGCAGCTGCCATTGCTCCATAAACAGTCTCAGTCACTGGTACAGATGTCTTCTTGACCTTTTTCTTAGGGGCTTCAACCTGCAAGAAAATGAAAACAATAAATGCTAAGCTTTACTGACATCTTTGAGCTAATACACTGAAGCAGAAGAAGAATATAACTTACCCAACATTAATTAAGCGAAAAAAACACTACACTGATTCATTTCAAGAATTAAAATATAGGTAAACACCTGGCCATGCATGCGTTCTTAATAGTAAATGCATAAACAAATCCCGCGATTTGAATAGATGCATAGTTTGATTAAAACCAAAATATGACTGATAGGAAATATAAACTAGCTCAAGCAGTAATGAGAAGAGATGAAACAATGCTGTGTTACCTTAGCATCTGTTTCCATCTTGACAGGTTTGTCTCCAGATTCTGGAACACCATTCTCAGCCCCTGAAGCATCTCCAGCTCCTTTAGCATCTTGCATATTTACATCAGATTCCGCTGTAGTTGAAGGAGCAGCATCACCAGAAGCTTCATCTGTTTCCATTTTGGCAGGTTCCTTAACCGCCTCTTTCACCACTGGGACTTCCCCCTCTTCTTCTTCCAAAAGCTAAATTACAGACCAAAACCATAAGATTAGATGATAGTCTCTCCATTCGCAAAATAATTGCCACATAAAAAGGAAAAACGAGGAGAAACCACAAATTCTTGGACTTACAGTGGCAGAATCAACCGAGACAATACCATGCAGGTTTAGGCGTACTTTAACTTTTAGTTTGGCCCTTTCACCCTTTGCAGATTGGAATGGTCCGATCTGTCAAGAAGATCAAAGAAAACCCAAAGTGAGCCAAGGACTCACCTGAAACCAGAGGATCCATTTTAAATTTATTTTAATATATGAAAAGCTCAGGATCTAACTAGTTAGTGAACCTATGAAATACCGTGTAAGTACTGATCTTTGCTGGCGCCTGAAGTTCACTGACATCAGCATACTGTACATCTATTGTAAACGTGCCAGATCTATAGAATGTCAGAGCTTTCACACTGGGTATCGGATTCCCCTTGGGGAAAACAATCGTGCTCTGATGATTCTCTAAAGCTTCATTTTGTGCATCTGGAGCAGGCCCCTTCCAAGACAATGCAATTGGGAAAGGGAAGCTCTCATTGACCTTCAATCAGCCAACGATAATTATTAGTACAGTTATTACGCTTATAAATCACCATAAGTTATTCTGCTCGGAGCCAGATGTGCAGTAGTAACATAATCGTCTATCATAGGTTAATAATAACACAATTGACATTCACTTCAATAAAAATCTTGGTCATTCTGTAATAAATCTTGCATTTCCTTCATCCTTCAAGAAGACAATATCTTCTACCTCCCACTTTTTCATTCATTACCTTTTTTTGATTAGTACACTTTGTCGTTAATTACCTCACTTTCATGCTTGATTCAAGCCAACCAAAAATTAGGTCCCACTCAGACAGCAAAATAAATGAAGAAAAGATCAAAACAATTTTTTCCCCACATACTACTAAATACGTCTACATTCTACTAGATGTATCCACTCAAATATAAGTATTATCAACGACATTGCAACAGACTAAGAAGTTAGAAGGCCCTGAGGCCAATATGACCATGGAAAAACATATCAATCAAGAGAAAAGCTGACATGTTACCTGGAATTCTCGCACTTTAAAGGTGGGACTGAGAATAGCGCATTGCAATGCACATCCTTTGGCAACACATTCACTTGCATTCATGGTGCGCCTCGGTTCCTTACCGAAGAACTCCGTCAAAATCCTCATAATTGCAGGCACTCGAGAGCTTGACCCAACAACCTCAACTGCATGAATGTTCTCAATAGTGAGCCCAGCTTCGGCAAGAGCTTTCTGTAGTGGTTTCTTCACTCTCTCCAGTATAGGTATGCTGATTTGCTCAAACTCCTCCCTCTTGATAAATCCTCTGACATCCTTCTCATCCATTAAACACTCTATATTCAAAGGTGCCTCGGGGTTTGCGCTGAGAACCTTTTTCAACTTTTCACAAGCAGCTCGAAGTCTAATGCATGCCCTAGCATTTTGGAAAACATCGATTTTGTATTCTTCCTTGAATTTTGCAGCAAAATGTTGGAAAAGAGCTTCATCAAAATCCCTCCCACCAAGATTTCTGTCAAATGAATGAGCCAATATCTTCAACTGGCCTTTCTTGAAGCCAGCAATACAAACTTGCAAGCTTGCATGTCCAACATCAATAAAAGCAACATTCAGTGGGTCATTTTCAGGTAAATCTGTCTTGTAAATACCATATGCCAAAGCAGTAGCTGTTGTCTCATGAATTAGATGCAAAGGGTGCAAGCCAGCGATGGTGGCTGCATCCATTACAGCTCTTCTCTGAAGATCAGTGAAATAAATGGGAATTCCTATGCAGCAATCAACTACTGCTGCATTGAGATTCTTCTCTGCTATAGTTTTGAGATCCGAAAACACCATTCCAAGAACCTGGGTAGGTGTAAAAGTTCTCATTTCCCCCAAATATCGTGCATGGATGAGAGGATATCCATCAGGTCCTTCAGTTACTGAAAAGGGCAGTGCCTTAAGATCTCTTTGCAGCTCGGGATCAGAAAATTGCCGCCCTATTAACCTCTTTATCTGTGAAATGGTATTCTTTGGGTTCATCATACTTGATGCTGCACCAGCAGTCCCGAGAAACCGTTGCTTCTCTCCAAAGCAGACTATAGCTGGCGTTTCCCTTTTTGATTCATCATTAAGTACGACATCAATACCTCTCTGCCTTGCAACCGCAACAACGCCACTCTCGTTCCCAAAGTCAAAACCAACCACGCTCATGTTGTTGGCTGAAATTACTCAATATCCAACAATAAACGTAAGTACCTGGACAACATCAAAAGAACACCAGATGCACTTTATACAAATCAACATGAAAAACTGATTACTTTTCCATAAAAGAGCTAAGAAACCTGATCGCTCATGCCTGGGTTTTCTTGGAATGCAATTACACTATGTGTTGATTATCGATACACTGAAGAGAGCAATATAAGTTGGCTGGCGCAACCCAAAACATCAACAGACTAAAGAAACAAGGACTCAAAGTTCAAGAATGTTTTTCCCTAATTTCCCAGTATCCAAAGTTCAAGTATGATTTCAATATAATTTTTCCTGCAAAGGAATCTTTCCGTATGAATGAGCTTGTCCACATACCAACAAGCCGGGACTCAATTGGTAAAGAACCAACAAGAACACGAATTTTTGAATCTACTATCTAGGTCCTAGGAATACAACAAACACGCCCAAACTCAGCCTTCACAAATAAAGTACTCTCTAGAACGCATTTTTCCCCGAAAAGAATCTTCAGTATTAAGAATAAATTAAATTGAAGATTTATTAAAGACTGGCTAGTGGCTACCTAATAAATTACAATCACCGCTTTATCTACAACAACAACAAAAACAAAAACAAAAAACCAATGTAACCCCGCAAGTGGTGTCTTGGGAGGGTAGTGTGTACACCCATCTTGAGAAGGTAGGGAGGGTAAATAGGTTGTTCCCGATAGACACTCGGCTCAAAGAAAGATGAAAAATGCAGTAGCACAATAACACAAGCAAAATAACAAGAAAATAGAATCGAAAGAAACAGCAGGCAGTAATAGAAATAAAAAAAATAAGAAAGTACATGACTAACACTAATACTACTAGTATGGACAAAAAAACGCACGAGTACCTACTCACCCTATACCCTAATACTCGACCTCCACATCCTCCGCAAGGGTCATTATCCTCGGTAAGCAGAAGCAACGCCATGTCCTACCTAATCACATCTCCCCAATACTTCTTTGGCCTACCTCTACTTCTCAGACCCACCAAGGCCAACCTCTTACACCTTGTTACTGGGACATCTGTGCCTCTCCTCTTTAAAGGTTCCGAACCACCTAAGCCTCACTTCCCACATTTGGGTCGAGCATTCACTGCTTTTTCTAGCCTAAGTAATTTGCTATCCTCCCATTTTCAATCTTGCACCTTTGACAATAAACTTCACTATGTTACTTCATTTCTTTATCATTTGTTCTTTTTTATTATGACGCTGGTCCCTGAACCAACTTGAGCGCACCCGAGGTACCTGCTATCTCCCAAGGTATCGAGTAACTCTGCCTACCAAGGGTTCGGCAGATAGGAATTACCGTTTGTTCTTTTCTAATTTTCTAAAACAGATTACAAAGTTCACAATAGCAACCAACAATGCAGGAATTAGACGGACAAAGACACAAATTTTACACCAATCATAAAACCATTGATGAAGCTATACAACAGTCTACATCACCAGACAACAAAGTTAGTTAACTCCTAGCAAATAGATTATGCAGCATGCGATTCAAAAGGGAAAGCGTCAAATCTAACCAATGGTACTTCATCTCTAGCTAAAAATTTGAAGCCAACGAACAGTCAAGCAATCGGTTGTAACAAATTCATAAAAGTAGAAAAAACAGAAATCATAGATCTGCAAATTGTGATACAGGGAATCAGAGTTTCGTGACTTAAACAATACCTTGAAGACAAAGTATAGAATCTTCTGGAATCTATGTTCCAATGTGCGCGATTGATTTTTTGGTGAGGCAAACGGAGGATACTGATGCAAAATAGAAGGGGTTTAAAGGAGAGCAACAAAGAGGAACAAGAGAATAGGGGTTTGTGTAGAATTTTCGATTTTATAATTACTAAAAATGACTTCTTTTTTTCCCTTTTTTTTTTTGACCGAACCGGGAGTTCGAGTGGTCCTAGATTTGTCTAGAGGTATACTAGCGCTTCTAGAAAGTTCTTCTCCTACAGCTATACCCTTGTTGACAGTGTCTGAACTAAGAGGGTATGGGCCAAGAGGGTTAGTTCATAGATTCTTTTGGATTCGTGGATCTAAGTGGCTTTGATGTGGTGAAATCATTTGAAGAATTAACTTAAATAGCCGTCTATTTAATTATTTAAATTAAAATAACCAATAAATGCATATATATATATATATATATAATCATATTTAAACTAGTATACTCGTGTAAAATTTGTACGGGATACTCTATTTGGTCAACCTTATTTAAGTGTTATGCACTTTTTTAAAAAAGTTTAAGTGATACCGTATTTTCGGGTAACTTCATATATACTTTTTTCTTCTTCTCTGCTACTGTTTTCTTTTTCTCTGTATTCATGTCCATGTATCCACGAGCTTCTTTGCTGCTTCTTCTTTTTCTCGTATTCATGTCCCATCTATCCAATAGCCATCTGGTTGTTTCTTCTTATTTTTAGTTGAAAAATACCAATGTAGATTGTACTTAGGGTTCCTTCTTCTTTTTAGTTACAAAATGAATTTGTTAAAGTTGGTGTTATTTTGATAATTTAATAGTTCGGTTTATTTTTTATTATATTTGAAAGTTATGTTTCAATTTTGAGCTCATTTAGAGTAGATTTGAACGTTGCAACATGTGTTAAATTATTGGAATTTGAAGAACAAGTTTATGCTTTAGAACTTAAGATCCGATTTTGAAGTTGCATTGAAGAAATAAAACTACTTAAGATCCGAATTTTTTGCAATTGAATTGAAGAGATAGAACTACTTAAGATCCCATTTTTTCTGAAATTGCATTGGAAAGATAGAAGAATTTCCAATCCAATTGTAAAGTTGCATTGAAGAGATAACTTAATATGCGATTTTCTGAAGTCGCATTCGAAAGATAGAAGAACACCAGATCCGAATTCTGAAGTTACATTGAAGAGATAGAAGAACTTCAGATATTGACGAGTAAGTTTTACAGTTTTTGTGCAATCTGAGTATGACTTTAATGGCGGTCCAAAAGTGGATATATATGAAAATGCTAGAAAAGATAAATAGTAAATCTGACCAATATTTGCGTAAAGATCCCTACATTTTTCCGTCCAACCTATATTGTGCCAGCCTTGTTAGCAATAGAGTTTGAAAACCTTTTTTTTTTTTTTTGGTAAAAAATTGAATTATTTTTTTTTAGTTGTTTCTATGCTTCTGTTATCATAAAAATAATAATTTGATTCAAGATTCAAATATCAAGTCTCTTACGGTTTCGTGTTACTGAAAGGCGAGGCGACAAACGTAGTTCCTTATCCTTTGTACTTCGTTTTCCATTTCCGTCAATATTTTTCTTGCTTATACAGTGTAAATTAGTCTACTATTAAGATCATTAATTTGTCTTTACAGTCTCGTGTTCATTCCAAACATTCATCAGTGTAAGTGTTGGATCTAGTGATGATAACTCTGAGGAGGAGGTAAACAACTTTTCTGACATGAGACCAATCAGCTTAAGCAATTTCATCAACAAGGTGTTTTCCAGAGTCATTCATGAGAGGTTAGTTGGTGTCCTTCCTACTCTTATTTCTGATGAGCAAGCAGGAAAAAATAAAATAATCTTCGCCGTTCACGTATCCTGTATCCAACCTTCACATGTCCTTCGGCTCAAAAACGTACTACACCTCCTCTATATCTTCATAGGTCGAAAGGAATTGTCTTCGCTCATTCCAAAAACAAATAAAAAGAGTTCAACCAGTACTACTATCTTTTATACAGAGACCCCAAAGTCAAAATCAATATACAGACCGTCATAAACCAAGATCCGAACAGATAATTCTTGTTTGGAGTATTGTCCAAGATAAGGAAAATGTTGCTTTACATCCTAAGTTGAGGTTGATAAATGATAAGCTTAAGTTATCGCTTGAATTGGTTGTTCTGTCTCGACCATTCTTGCAGGACCTTCAAACACTGCCAAGAGATAACAGGATATTTGGCCTCGCTTCTGCGCCAAACCTTCCGCATATGCGGTCCCTGCCTCCTCCGGCCCAGCGAGCTTCTACAACCCAATCGCACTTGTGGCAGGTGCAAAAACACTAGAAATATGAATTGATCTGCAACTCATCTGAAACGCACCCGAACCCCTCGGAACCCGTCCAAACACATCAACCAATCCTAAAACATTCATGATGAGCCTGCTACACTTCCTACGAACAAAATTCCTACATATTATAAATCCCAACGTTTTTTGTTTGGCGATACTTTCAAGGAAGAACCCCAATCTCATGAACGAGTACAAGTTGATTATCATACTACGCGCAAGCATAAGCTCATTGCCCTCCAAGCCTTTTCCAATGAGACAATATTGCAGAAAAAGATAGTTTACCCTAACAAAGGGTAAAGTGCTAATATATTCTAGCTACAAATAGCCAAATATACCCAGAAAATCTCATTTAGTGAAGAGATGTGGGAGAAAACAACAGCAATTGAATTTCTTTAAAACCCTCTGAAAAGCAGGATTTTAGAGAGTCGGTATCAATAATATAACTTGACAGGCCATATGGATGGACGAAATTGATCACAACAATCAAAGACAAAATGTTGATCAGTATAGATCCTTCAAAAAGATATGGGTAAAATGCAAAACAATACAAAGCGAACAAAGTCTTTGCCTTCATAAAATATCTGAAGATCAAACCATCAACTTAACTCATGAAGGCGTAGTCTCAGATTTGTCCGTATCCATTGGCTCAGCAGCAGGTGGCACTTCACTTCCAGCACTGGCGCCCTCAGTTGCATTTGCATTTCCGGAATTAGGACTCTCTGCACCCTGAGGTTGTTGCTCACCTCCTTGAGGAGGTTGAGATGATGGTGTTTCAGGAGTTGCTGGCTTTACCGGCTTAGGCTTTGTCATTATTGGCCTACAAACCCTATAGAGACAGAAAGTACCTTGAAAATGACCAATCGGCAGCACAAAGCAAGGAAAAGGAAGAAAAAGGAAAGAAGGCCTGCCCTACGCGGACAAAACAGATATAGCAACTAGCCAACCAAGACTTTGCTGTAGAGTTGGCCCAAAACTTTATATTATTCAACTGATAGCAAATATCAAGTAGTCAACAGTACCTATCAAGTGCCTCTGCTTTCTTCCTAACATCAGCCGACAGAAGAACAGGGTTGGCATATTTCGGAAGAGCATCCTGCTGCTGCTTTTTCTCTCTAAACCAAGCCTCGGCTTCGACACACTCGTTCAAAACCTAGGAAGTGCAAGAGAAACATAAGCATCAAAACACATTTTCAGGAAGAAGAAGGGCGAGCATATGACGAAAGAAAACAAAAGGCATACAGCAAAGACTAAGCAGATATGTGCACACCTTCTGCTTCTCAGCTAAATCAATGTGATCAAACTTAGGATCATTTGACATTGCTGCCTCTCTGTAACTATTTATGCAATAAACAAATTGATCAATTACGGACCCCCTCTCCGTGTACTCCTTGTACCGTTGCTCAATCGGGTCACCTTGCTGCAGATTCGCCACACAAAATCAGCACCATACATGCCAAAAGGACAAGGGAAATAGGATATTCAAGAAACACCAACCTTTTTAAGCTCCTCAAGTTTGGCAATATAAACACCCTTAGTTTCATCCTCTCCATCTTCATACAACCAATCTTCCACTTCTTGAAGTTTAGCAATAAATTTTTCTCTTTCTGAATCAATTACAAACTCTTGATATTTATCTGAAAGCTGGATATATTTAGAAGGGGAGACCTGTCAGTAACACATCAAATGTTTTCATACAACTACCATAAGGCCAACAAATACCTTATTCCTCATGTCATAAACATAGGCCTCAACAGCATTCTTCTTGTCCTTTGTCTCTTCCATAACACGGTCCTGAAGAGCCATTTCAAATTCTTTCTCAACAGCCTTCTGAACATCAGCAGCTGCCATTGCTCCATAAACAGTCTCAGTCACTGGTACAGATGTCTTCTTGACCTTTTTCTTAGGGGCTTCAACCTGCAAGAAAATGAAAACAATAAATGCTAAGCTTTACTGACATCTTTGAGCTAATACACTGAAGCAGAAGAAGAATGTAACTTGCCCAATTAATTAAGCGAAAAAAGCACTACACTGATTCATTTCAAGAATTAAAATATAACTTACCCAACATTAATTAAGCGAAAAAAGCACTACACTGATTCATTTCAAGAATTAAAATATAGGTAAACACCTGCCCATGCATGCGTTTTCTTAATAGTGAATGCATAAACAAATCCCGCGATTTGAATAGATGCATAGTTTGATAAAAAAAAAAAAACCAAATATGACTGATAGGTAATATAAACTAGCTCAAGCAGTAATGAAAAGAGATGAAAGAGTGCCATGTTACCTTGGCATCTGTTTCCATCTTGACAGGTCTGTCTCCAGATTCTGGAACACCATTCTCAGCCCCTGAAGCATCTCCAGCTCCTTTAGCATCTTGCATATTTACATCAGATTCTGATGTAGTTGAAGCAGCAGCAGCACCAGAAGCTTCATCTGTTTCCATTTTGGCAGGTTCCTTAACTGCCTCTTTCACAATTGGGACTTCCACCTCTTCTTCTTCCAAAAGCTAAATTAGGGACCAAAACCATAAGATTAGATGATAGTCTCTCCATTCACTAAATAATTGCAACATAAAAAGGAAAAAGAAGGCAAGACCACAAATTTCTGGACTTACAGTTGCAGAGTCAACCGAGACAATACCATGCAGGTTTAGCCGTGCTTTAACTTTTAGTTTGGCCCTTTCACCATTTGAAGATTGGAATGGTCCAATCTGTCAAGAAGATCAAAGAAAACCGAAGTGAGCCAAGGACTCACCTGAAACCAGAGGATCCATTTTCCGTTTATTTTAATACATGAAAACACAGGATCTAATTAGTGAGTGCAACTATGAAATACCGTGTAAGTACTGATCTTTGCTGGCGCCTGAAGCTCACTGACATCAGCATACTGTACATCTATTGTAAACGTGCCAGATCTGTAGAATGTCAGAGCTTTCACACTGGGTATCGGATTCCCTTTGGGGAAAACAATCGTGCTCTGATGATTCTCTAAAGCTCCATTTTGTGCATCTGGAGCAGGACCCTTCCACGACAATGCAATTGGGAAAGGGAAGCTCTCATTAACCTTCAATCAGCCAACTACAACCATTAGTACAATTATTACGCTTATAACAACAACAACGACCCAATAAAATCCTACTAGTGGGATCTGGGGAGGGTAGTGTGTACGCAGACCTTACCCTACCCAGAGAGAGCAGAGAGGATGTTTCCGAGAGACCCTCGGCTCAAGAAGACAAAAAGAGACAATATATATTATTACGCTTATAAATCACCACAATTTGTTCTGCTCAGAGCCAGATGTGCAAGTAGTAACATGATCGTTTATCAAAGGTTAATAGTAACACAATTGACATTTGCTTCAATAAAAATCTTGGTCATTCTATGATAAATCTTGCATTTCTTTCATCCTTCAAGACGACAATATCTTTTACCTCCCACTTTGTCATTCATTACCTTTTTTGATTAGTACTTCGTCATTAATTTCCTCAATTTCATGCTAGTTTCAAGCCATGCAAAAACTAGGTCCCACTCGGACAACTAAATAAAATGAAGAAAAGATCAAACCAACATTTTTCTTCACATACTAAATGTGTCTAATTAAATAATTATGATTATCGACCACATTGAAAGCCCTGAGTCCAATATGACCATGGAACATCAACCAAGAGAATGAGGGTGACACGTTACCTGGAATTCTCGCACTTTAAAGGTAGGACTGAGAATAGCACATTGCAATGCACATCCTTTGGCCACACATTCACTTGCATTCATGGTGCGCCTTGGTTCCTTACCGAAGAACTCCGTCAAAATCCTCATAATTGCAGGCACTCGAGAGCTTGATCCAACAACCTCAACAGCATGAATGTCCTCAATAGTGAGCCCAGCTTCGGCAAGAGCTTTCTCTAGTGGTTTCTTCACTCTCTCCAGTATAGGTATGCTGATTTGCTCAAACTCCTCCCTCTTGATAAATCCTCTGACATCCTTCTCATCCATTAAACACTCTATATTCAAAGGTGCCTCAGGATTTGCGCTGAGAACCTTTTTCAACTTTTCACAAGCAGCTCGAAGTCTAATGCATGCCCTAGCATTTTGGAAAACATCAATTTTGTATTCTTCCTTGAACTTTGCGGCAAAATGTTGGAAAAGAGCTTCATCAAAATCCCTCCCACCAAGATTTCTGTCAAATGAATGAGCCAGTATCTTCAACTGGCCTTTTTTGAAGCCAGCAATACAAACTTGCAAACTTGCATGTCCAACATCAATAAAAGCAACATTCAGTGGGTCATTTTCAGGTAAATCTGTCTTGTAAATACCATAAGCCAATGCAGTAGCTGTTGTCTCATGAATTAGATGCAAAGGATGCAAGCCAGCTATGGTGGCTGCATCCATTACAGCTCTTCTCTGAAGATCAGTGAAATAAATGGGAATTCCTATGCAACAATCAACTACTGCCGCATTGAGATTCTTCTCTGCTATAGTTTTGAGATCCGAAAACACCATTCCAAGAACCTGGGTAGGTGTAAAAGTTCTCATTTCCCCCAAATATCGTGCATGGATGAGAGGATATCCGTCAGGTCCTTCAGTTACTGAAAAGGGCAATGCCTTAAGATCTCTTTGCAGCTCGGGATCAGAAAATTGCCTCCCTATTAACCTCTTTATCTGTGAAATGGTGTTTTTCGGGTTCATCATACTTGACGCTGCACCAGCGGTTCCAAGAAAGCGTTGCTTCTCTCCAAAGCAAACTATAGCTGGCGTTTCCCTTTTTGATTCGTCATTAAGTACGACATCAATACCTCTCTGCCTTGCAACTGCAACAACGCCACTCTCGTTCCCAAAGTCAAAACCAACCACGCTCATCTTTGCTGGCTGCAATCACTCAATATCCAACAATAAACCAAAGTACCTGGACAACATGAAAAGACTAGATAAAATCAACTAAAACACCAGCATGCACCGTACAAAAATGGGGTCCAGAAAGAAGTTATGCATTTTAAATGACAGATTTCCAATCAACATGAAAAAACGGATTACTTTACCATTATATAGCTAAGAAAGAAGATCCCTCATGGCTGGGTTTTCTTGAAATGCAACTACACTGTGTGTTAATCATCGATACACTGAAGAGAGCAATATAAGTTGGCTAGCGCAACCCAAAACATCTACAGACTAAAGTAACAAGGACTCAAAGATCATGGAAGTTTTTTCCCCCTAATTTGCACAGAATCCAAAGTTCAGCTTGCCCACATACCAACAAGACGGGACTCAATTGGTAAAGAACCAACAAGAACAAGGATTTTTGAATCTACTGTCTAGGAATACACCAAACACACACAAAACGCGGCCATTATAAAGAAGGTACTCTCTAGAACGCCTTATACAAACTTAGTCAGGCACTGATCCAAAGCAGACCTTAGCCTGCTCCATTTTTCCCTGAAAAGAATCTTCAATGTTAAGAACTAATTGAATAGAGGATTAATCAGAGACTAGCTAATGGCTACCTAGTAAATTACAATCACCACTTTATCTAG